ATATTTATAAAGCTGAGACGATCAGTGGTTGCTGAAATATGTACACTGTGTCAAAACTTTTTGAACCCCCCACGTACAGATTGCATCGGCTGTCTCGAATACGGGTACTGCGACAACTGCCGTTGTTGACGTTTTTGCCGGTGCGTAGGCAGGGTTTGCCGAGTAGAGCGAGTGTTGTCATGTTGCTGAATAGAACCTGTACCTAGCCGTTCATGCGCAGCCAGATTGGTATCCATTATAATATACGACAGCGGTTGCGTTGGCAGACCACCAAAAGTAAGCGCATCAGCAGGTAATTGCGGCGGAAGATATTGTTGAGGTGGTTGTCCTGCTTGCAATACGCTTTGATACAAATACTTATTTGAGCCATCGTAATCAATGTATTCCTGCTGCGTTGGTTGCTGTTGTCCTGATTCCTTTTGTTGATTCCATATCTCGTCCGTCCAAAAAGGTTGTTGCGACATCGTAAGTTAACTATCAAGAGACTGGGCTGTCGTTACATAATATAAGCCAATTGCCTTTTCTGTGTAATGAAAAAGATTTATGTAGAACTGGGGTCAAGGATCGGAGAAAAGTCCGTCCATTAGCAGATTTTAATCCACAATTTGAACGCTCAATCATACTCTATTAAATAGTAGAGATGCTTTTTCTGTTAAAGAAGCGTTTATTCCTTTCAGAAGTTCGTTTATTAAACGGATTTGATTCATTTCGAATATTATTCTCCTAATACAAAAACTAAATTGATCCTGATACCAGCCAACTAATTCGGCAATTAATTCATTATATTATTTTCCACTAATTTTTGGGCTAATCTACGAGCGAACTTCTCATGTTGTTTAGCCAAAAACTACAATTTTTTTCTCCGTTTGTTCTAGCTATCACCTGGTTATATACTTTACTTTCTATACAATATACTGTAGTCGACTGTCGCTTATATTTTAAAGTCTCAAAATACTGTACTTTGTTAATACTAGGCCTGTTCCGTTCCAGTTTGTGCCGATACCTGATTGGTGGATTAAAAATCACATGATGGGAACAACAAATTTGCAGTTCCTATCTGTTCCCATCCTCATCCCAAACACGTTTTATTAATAAGCAAAAGATTACGTTACGCAAAAAGGTTCTAATGACTTCTAGAAATATATATTTTTCTGTAAAGAATAACACTTGAAATCTTGGAGTGAAAAGAAAAACAACGGAACGGGGAAACGCGAAATTTGTCCTCAATTCTCCCGGATTTTTGATTGGTTAATATAATTTTGCCGTCAAACAGGCCTACTATAGTCGAACGTATATATAGCAAACCAATTATTTAATAAAAATTTTTAATTAAATGTACGGTTATTATTGTTATTTTACGGACTGTCGCTCAAAGTACCGTATCACTATATCTGGAACACGTTCTGTAAAATTTTGAGCTTTAGATTACCAACCAATTCGGCATTGTAAAACGATTAAATATCTGTAAAACTTTTTGTGGATAGCAAGATAGGACCAACAGAAACTAAATAAACAAATTGGGTAGCATTTCATGCCAGTTAATATTCGTATTTGATTAAACACTTCTGACGCAAGTTATAATTGCAAATGTAGAAATGGTAAGTAATATCGTTCCCAAAATATCTTAATTCTGAATGCATGTTTTTTATTATTATAGTAAACACATTATTTGGTAAAACATATTAATATAGCTACGCAAAATGTTGTTTTATTTGTCCATTTGCTTGCCAATGTTAATAGTCATTATAGCTTACAATAAATAAAGATTGCTTTTCTATCAGCGAATTTGTTACACTTGACTTTGTATGGTTTAGGACAAATCGATCAGTCCGGTAATTATTGTAAGGAGCCGTTGGGTATTAAAGAGAAATACTTTACCAGATGACGAGCGTATTCTAAACAATAAACGGCGTTGATACATTATTATTTACATTGCTGATTGATGTCATCCTTACGATCAGGAAGAATTCGTCTGTCAATCTATCGTTTGTGAGTTACAGTTGTACTACTAAATCCGTTTATCATACGCAATAGAAATAAGACCGTATTTAACGGCTGAAATGTGCGGACCCGTAGACATACTGCTGACGTATCGTTGAATGGACACCTTAAATACAGTACACCGCTGAATTATTTGTAACCGAAAGCAAGCTCTACGGTGATTGTCATTTACAAACGTTAAATCGGAGTCGACAAATCAAATACCGTGGGGGTAGTATTGAATAAGATACATCGCAGAATAACGCCAATACAGAGTCAGTTACCATCGTCAGTTACCATCGTCAGTTACCATCGTCAGTTACCATCGTCAGTTAAGTGAAACCAAACCCGTTGATCGAAAATAAGGAAGCGCTACGAAAGACGATAAAAAGTCGCCGATATTGCGGCTGTTGTTAAAAAGAAGTAGCAGTTGACGAAGAAACAATAGTATGGTCATAAATAACGATGGAGAAAAGCGACTAAAAAGGGGTAGATCAAGGAGAAGGTTTGAAAAAAATTTGCTAGATCCATTACTAACAAACTAACGGCTCCGTTTATTTGTTTTTTATTGCCATTAAACGTCAGTTTGCCTATTAAACTCTGATTTTTAAGTTGTGAAATGCGTTCTAACTTAAATTTATCCAATGATACAAAATCTAAAGGCCGACCGATGAAATCGGGCGGCACACTACACACTTCTAGTTGATAAGATTGAAGATAGGAAGGGTATTGATGCTCAGTCTACACTATGCTGTTTATATATCTTTTCGGACTGCTAATTGGTTATTTTTAGCATCGTAATCTGCTTTATTGTCTAATTACTAATTTCCTGCTGTACGTACTGCAATCGTGCAATTGATCAAGAATACATACGTCATCGTTAGTTCCCTCCTATATAACGGGTCGTGCCTTCACGTGATATTGATACGTCTCGAGAAGGATATTGTGTGCAGGTAAATAACTTTAGAAACAGTAATTAGATATTTCAAACAGTCAACAAATAAACTTGTTATTACATATAAAAATTAAACTGCGCAATACTCAATGCCAACACTACCGCTTGTCTTTATTGTAGAAATTCAGGAAAAAATACGTCACCGTTCGTTAAACGTGTCATCTCATTGTTGCGTTTACTTTAGGTAACTGTATGCAGGTGTGGGTAAATAAACAGTTACATGCATATTAAATAGCAATAGAAACTATTGTATAGTGATAAATGTAAACACGTGAACAGCGGATCTACGCAATCTTACTGAAATCTATTTATATATCTGTATATCAGTATCTGTGATATTGCCATATGATTGATGGTATTGTTGCAAATGACAAGAAATTTAGCCACATGAGGAAATATTAAGTACTACGTTAAATGACAAAAATTAATGCCATATTAAGTGACATTGTGACACTATTCGCTCGATTTATCCAAATCTCTTGTCACTTCATCGACTGCGCAGCTACTGTGTTCGTTACACTAGGATTTTGTAATGCCGCAGCCTTGTAAATCTCTTATACCACAGAGCGAAAATCACGGAAGATTACATCATCATTATCCGTCGACGGATCTGACACATACAATCAAATCATATGATATAGTAATCTTGCAGATATATAAGTAGATTTCAGTAAGATTGCGTTAGGTCCGCTGTTCACGTGCTTACATTTATTACTTAATATACTGTATACAATAGTTTCTATTGCTATTTAATATGCATGTGACTTTATATTTATTTACCCACACCTGCATGCAGTTACCTGGATATTGTAAAGTAAACGCAACAATGAGATCACACACGTTTAACGAACGGTGACGTATTTCAAGCGGTAGTACAGTCGGGGATTAGTATACTAGTCAGGGATTTGTTGACGTTGATCACACTTTTTATCGTAATGTTAAGGGACAAAAGTATTACACAGTTTAATTTTTATATGTAATAACAAGTTTATTCGTGAAATATCTAAAGTTAAACAAACATATTTTACATATCACGGGTGATTGACGACTGCAGTACGTATAGCAGCAGATGCTAAAATTAAACCAAATAGTAGTCCGAAAAGATATATAAGCAGCATAGTGTAGACCGAGCATCAATACCCTCCTTATCTTATCAATAAACGAGCATCCATTTACAAAGTCTTTCTTGAACAACCCGTTATAATTTTTATTTGACATATACGATATTTATTCCAAGCTACGATATTCTGCTACAGGCTCGCTAAATCTAGTTTTAACATGACAAAGCCGGAGGTGAAATAAAGAATTGGCCAGAATTTATTCACGCAAATAGCTAATAGAGGATCGAACACTTACCGAATACGACATTGAAAAAGATTCGACGCTTTATTTAGCTCTTCGTCTTCTCCGTGACGCAAAGAAATGTAAAAAGAAGACTTATACCACTCCAAACAAGATCAAGCATAAGCGTAAAAAAGTCAAGCTCGTAGTATTGAAATATTACGAAGTTGAGTTGATAAAAACGTGGACCGTTTAACGCAATTACAGGATGCCTTAGACCAGATGGCGAGACTATTCTCCATAAGCGTCAATTATCTTAGCCAACCACATGTTCAGAATCCAGCAGAATTCAAGAAAGTGCAACATGACTTGGTGACCGATATATGTAGAAAAGCGAAACAAGTTGAAATATTGATCGATAATTTGCCTGGGGCCACACGTACGGAGGAAGAACAACTTGAATCTATTAGCCAATTGGAGAAGGAATTGCAAGAAGCCAACGAAAACTGTCGAAAAGCAGTGCAGACCGCTGAAATTTACTTGAGCAAACTACAGAAACGATTGATATTATAGCAAACGAACAGACCATTGTGAAACTATTGACCAAGTGTTGTGACTCCAAACTTTACTCGTCTGGAATATCATATATAATATTCCTCGTCGGAAATAAACAAAAGCTCACAGCGTGCAAGTCAAGCACTGGATCGTCCGTAGTTTTGTTGTTGAATGATGAGGCAGTAAAAAGGTTCCAAGGCAGAGACAATTCCTCTCGATAATGTAATTGCGAAATTAGTTCTACTAAAGAAGGAGAGACGGTTTTAGAGAATAACGATAAGATTTAGATACCTGATTGACGACGTAATTAATGTTAAAGTGGAGTGTGGCAGCCAAAACTATCATTATGAAGATGTAAACCAGCGTTTTTTAGATATAAGAGCGGGCAATACGTTGCATGGGGACGATTTGATCAGGTGATCGTCGAGTATTTTAGAACTTTTTCGCACATCCCTTTGATAGAATATGACAAAGGGCACTTCAAGCTTTGGCAAACGCCATACAAAGACCCACACTCTGTGCCGTCGTTGTGGAAGACGTGCATTCCATAACCAAAAGAAAACATGTGCTCAGTGCGGGTATCCATCGCCCAAGACAAGAAATTATAATTGGTCTGTAAAAAGCAAACGTAAGAAGACAACTAGAACAGGCAGAATGCGATATTTGAAACACGTTACTCGACAATTCAAGAATGGCTTCCGTGAATGTTCTGTGACCAAGAAGAAGCCGTCAGCTGCCACTATGGATACCAGTTAACATCACAGAGGAGTCTCCGAACACATATCTTACATGTTGCTCAATTGTTAGCATAATTTAAAGATCCAACCCCTCATTATTTTCCACGTGCTCCGGCGCCCACCAATTGTATCTGCTTTGCGATGTAGATCTTGCCTTTTGCTTAATCTCTTTTACGTTTTAGAAATGATCACCACCAAAACGGCCTTTGAATTTTAAAGTATTATATTTATAGTTAATAGCTTATAGCTTATGCTTATGCTTATGCTTATGCTTATAGCTTATAGCTTATTACTTATGGCTTATAGCTTATGCATAAGCTTACGAACAAAGGTCGTTTATATAACAAAAAATTTTTTGTTCAATGTAATATTGTTTTTCCGCAGAATGCTTTTCCAGAATCTCGAATACGTCTGTTAAATCCCTATGACTTACTATATCTGGTAGATCGGCTAATCTCCCATTAGA